AGGAACCGAGCCATCAAGAACCAAATGAGATATTGGAGCACCGAAGTCGCCTCTGGAACGAATAGTAATAATACAAGACCTTCGTTTAACTTACTCTAGATGCATTATCACCCAAAAATAAATATTCTGTACATTCCCAAGCGGACCTCTAACATAAATCCTAATGCAGGACTTTGTCTGAGGAAAATTAGAACAGACCGAGAACTTTTTTAAAATTCGGAAATCCTTCTGCTATATTCCAAAACCAGTTTTTTGACACCTGTGAACGTGACTCAAGTGCCAAAGTTATATTCTAACCTCGTTAAAGCATTTGATACCAACTGTACAGAAGACTTCCACTGACAGAATATCAGAGCTCTGTGGGGCAATTCCACAGGTATAGACGAAAGTGGGTCTATAAAAGTGAATATCATACGGAAAAGAAGACAATCGCAACAAATACAAAATGTTACACCAACTTTCGTCTTCGGGATCTTTTTCCTCAATAGTAACTCCAATACCACATTCACTCAACAGTTGACCTAGAGCCGCGATTTTGCCCGATGATGCATTGGGAACCTGCAAAAAGATTTGTCATATTTTAGGTAACCCAGCATTTTCCAAAACCGTTCAGTTGTTTTCCCCATGAAAGCTCGCAGAAATCTAAGATTCACCAGTTTCATAATTTCCTCCGGGGCAGCTAATTTCATCAGAACATCTTGTATCAGCAAAGGATGGTCAACTAGTTGCCGAAGAGCCATTAGTGCATGAAGTGGGGAAATACCTCGTCGAGCAGCCAATTGAGTGCGATTAGCAGTACACCTTAAATAGTAGCACTACGTNCCTTGTATCACCTAGTAACAGCAGCACAGCAGCTCCGTCTGAAGCAAAAAAGGGAAGGAACTTAAGTGTACATAATCAAAGTGATGATTGACTCTGAATCAACCGAAAGCTTTTGTGATCAAACGCCACTAAATACCCAAAAAATCACAAAACCATTCAAAGAAATAGAAATTAAAAGCTCACATGAGTAGTCAACACGAGAACGTCAATTAGGTGATCCGTGTTGAATCGATCAACTATTGATTGACGATCCGACGGAGGAACCGAGCCATCAAGAACCAAATGAGATATTGGAGCACCGAAGTCCCCTCTAAAATGGATAATAGGATTACAAGACCTTCGTTTGACCTACTTTAGACGCACTATCACCCAATGATAAATATTCTGCACATCCCTAAGCGGAGCTCTAACATAAATCCTAATGCAGGACATTGTCTGAGCAAAATTAGAACAGACCGAGTACTTGAAGAATCGGAAATTAATTCTGTTATATTCCATGACCAGTTTTTTGGTATTTTGGCACCTGTGAACGTGAATCAAGTGTCAAAGTTATGTTCTAACCTTGTTAAAGCATTTGATACCAACTGTACAGAAGACTTCCACTGACAGAATATCAGAGCTCTATGAGGCAATTCCACAGGTATAGACGAAAGTGGGTCTATAAAAGTGAATATCATACGGAAAAGAAGACAATCGCAACAAATACAAAATGTTACACCAACTTTCGTCTTCGGGATCTTTTTCCTCAATAGTAACTCCAATACCACATTCACTCAACAGTTGACCTAGAGCCGCGATTTTGCCCGATGATGCATTGGGAACCTGCAAAAAGATTTGTCATATTTTAGGTAACCCAGCATTTTCCAAAACCGTTCAGTTGTTTTCCCCATGAAAGCTCGCAGAAATCTAAGATTCACCAGTTTCATAATTTCCTCCGGGGCAGCTAATTTCATCAGAACATCTTGTATCAGCAAAGGATGGTCAACTAGTNAATCCTTCTGCTATATTCCAAAACCAGTTTTTTGACACCTGTGAACGTGACTCAAGTGCCAAAGTTATATTCTAACCTCGTTAAAGCATTTGATACCAACTGTACAGAAGACTTCCACTGACAGAATATCAGAGCTCTGTGGGGCAATTCCACAGGTATAGACGAAAGTGGGTCTATAAAAGTGAATATCATACGGAAAAGAAGACAATCGCAACAAATACAAAATGTTACACCAACTTTCGTCTTCGGGATCTTTTTCCTCAATAGTAACTCCAATACCACATTCACTCAACAGTTGACCTAGAGCCGCGATTTTGCCCGATGATGCATTGGGAACCTGCAAAAAGATTTGTCATATTTTAGGTAACCCAGCATTTTCCAAAACCGTTCAGTTGTTTTCCCCATGAAAGCTCGCAGAAATCTAAGATTCACCAGTTTCATAATTTCCTCCGGGGCAGCTAATTTCATCAGAACATCTTGTATCAGCAAAGGATGGTCAACTAGTTGCCGAAGAGCCATTAGTGCATGAAGTGGGGAAATACCTCGTCGAGCAGCCAATTGAGTGCGATTAGCAGTACACCTTAAATAGTAGCACTACGTGTACAACATACATTGTTTTTGAAAATCAGCATGTAGTCGATTAAAAACGGCGCTAAACCGATGGGAAAGAGCTGTGAAGATAGGAAGGTGATGTAAACATCTCTAAAACTGTCCTACAATTCAAGAGTTATCTTCAATAACAACGGTAAACCCCTATGTACCTGTCAACAATGAATTTATAAATAGTCCGTTGTTCTTCGCTCAGCTGACACTCATAATCTTGCACATTCTTGTCGGGCAATTCACGAAGAACCTGTTGAAGTGACAAAGATGTCGTAAAAAACTGACGAAAAGGAATACAGAAAACGATAAAGTTCACCTCAGATTTGAGCCGCCGCATGATGAATGGTAAAATCAGCCGGTGAAGCTGCGAAATCGCTTCGGATCCGTCCTACAAGCATAAACGCTACACTGTCACAAACGCTATACCTTAGTAAACCAACGCCGAAATGAATCTCATTGTAAAGTATGAGAAAAANAAAAACACCTGTATATCTTTTTCATTGGCCCTGTGACTACGGCACTTGAGAATTTTGCGAAGGAATCGGGAGCGAAAATGACGCTCGTCTCCCAGATAGCCAGGCATCAACCAAGTGAAGAGAGCCCATAAATCGGCAGGACTGAAATTTCAAAGTAAAATTGAGAGACTAACGAGAAAAATATATATCCAAAAAACTGCGAGTGAGATCAGTGAAGAGAACGTAACCTATTCTGCACTGGAGTACCAGAAAGTATCAATCGACTGGTAGAGTTCAACTCATTTGCTGCTCTCCAGATCGCGGTCTTAGGATTTCGCAAGACATGTCCTTCATCCAACACAACGTAATTCCATGCAATACGCCTCAAACAGTAAGTTGTTCAAATGAGAGATATCCTCCTCCACTAAAGCAAATACTAGAGTACATACCCTAGAGAAGAATTTGCTTTGAGGTCCTCGTATGCAGCAACAACAATCTCGGCAGATTTCCATTTTACTGGCATTCCTTCAACGTGACGAGCTGGCGCTCTACCGGGAAAGAATCGGCGCCACTCATTGCACCAATGGTCCACGAGTGTCCGTGGGCAAATAATCAAGGAACAGCGGCTTATCAAATTCGTATCTGAAAGTTGAAAGCCTGAGTTCTAAAGCTATAGACATGAAATGCAAGTATGGGGAGGCGAACGGTGGTTTTTCCAAGTAAAAAGATCAGATAAAAGTGGGCATAATCAATTTCGAGGCAGACGAGTGGCAAGGCAATCAGCTACCAATCATCATGAACACAGTGCAGTACGCTGTTCCCCTTTTCTTTGTACAATCCTACCTTGCTTTCTTTGCACTTGAAACTCACACTGGGTGAAGCAATTTTCTTTCAGCCAATTCATACTTACCGTTATCCAGTGATAGCGCCAGAGCACACAACGTTTGAAGTGTCTTTCCAAGGCCCATATCGTCTGCCAA